ATTTAATCTTTGATCTTGGTGTTTGTTTGATGTAATTGTCGTTTGATTGTTGTGAAATGACCTAATTTTCATGCATAATTGATTACTTGTTCATTGGATGATCGGATAAGTCGTTTGCTGCTAAAAAGTGCTTTTGGAAGCTAATTTTTTGCCTCTGTCTCAGTGGTAATCGATTAACACAATCAGGTAATCGATTACCCTGCCTATTTTTCATGTTTTTGGTCAATTTTCAAAGGGGTAATCGATTATCTGATCATATGATTTGCTTACTTGTATTATGTTAATGATTAATTGTTGATGATTATCCTGCTGAACTTATGATACATGTTTGTATTTGCTTCCGATTCCACTTGTTGCATGACCGATTGAATGGTGTAATTGATATGAAAAGTATGTTGACCTTGTTGATTCTTGATGATGCAATATTATTAAACAATTGTGCTTAATTGTTGATGCATGTTCGTCCTTGCATGACACTTGTTCATGATTGGTGCTTGCTCATGTTGATTATGTTGTTGCATTGCTTGCTGTCTTACTTTCTACAACCATTGTTATTCTGAATTTGCATGTTGTTTAAGCTATACTTGCTTGCAGCTTGCCTTTTACACCTACTTTTATGCTGAATAGTAGTTGTTAAATGTTGTTGTGCTGCCTTGCTGGATTCTGTTGTTGTTTTGTGCAGGAAGTACTGTTGTAGCTGCTATTTTTGCTTTGTTTTCTTGTTTTTTGCCTTGCCTTTGCATGCTCCCTTAGGTTTCCAATTCCAATTTAATTTTTGATTAAATTTGGAGTAGGATAGACACTAGGAGTGCAATCCATGCATGATAAAATGTAGGCTATTCCCTTTTTAACCTCGACCTTAGGTCCATGTTTTGCATGCTAACATTAGGATAGAATCTCCTCTTGCATCCCGCCTTAGGACCCCTTTGCATTATAGCGTTAGGGCCGAATTTCCCTTAGACCTTCTGTGCATCTCTTTCTCATCTCAAAATAATTCTAACTCATCTAATAAAGACGATGAACATTGTGCGCCACGATCCTTACACATATGGGAAATGATGAGTGAAGGATCTCCTCTCACTTATCTAGAGTGTTTAGTGTACGTCCCGTTTAGGGGCGATATGCGACGCATTCGTTCCTATATCATAGTATTTAGTGCAACGTGAATCATAAAGTAAACTAATTCACTTCATTAAAACACACAAACAAAAGTCAAACCTTTTATCCTTCGGGATTTGTGTTTCAAACTCATTTTCAGAAAAGAGTACGTTACTTTTCCGTTCTACCACAAATAGGCATCATCCTTAACTGCTGGAATGTGAACTTAATGTCGCTCATAAAACACACTTAACTAACCTGTGGTTTCGTTACCCAAACTACGTTTGCTTTGATTTGTCATACCAGATGAGGATACGTAGGCACAAGACGACGATGTCTTAGCGAGCAACCTTCCCCTATCACTCGTAGTTTTCTAAACTACGTTGACTCTGACTTTCCCATTGAACGAGGGAATACGTAGGCATAGGGCGGCGATGTCCTATCGAGTCTTTTTCTTTTTCTTTGTTCTCGTTTTCGTTTAGCAGTAGCTTTTAGATAATACACCCTTTGATTAGACAACAAACGTGGATCCCGTTGAGTACAACAGACGTGAGGGTGCTCATACCTTCCCTTTGTGTAACCGACTCCCGAACCCAAGATTTGGTTGTGATGACCTTGTCTTTTCCCGTTCTTCAGGTTTTCTTCGATCGTTTCTTTTCCCTCTCTTTGGGATAAATAATTTTTGGTGTCGAGTCTTTTATTTTTCCGTTGGGTTTTTTCGTAGTTGCGACACATAGGTCCACTTTTGCATGCTAACATTAGGATAGAAATTCCTTTCGTATCCCGACCTTAGAACCATTTTGCATGACAATATAAGGACCGAGTTTTTCGAACTCTTGGAGAAGTCTTAGCGAGAAACCTTCCCTCTCACCCGTAGTTTTCCAAAATACGTTGACTCTGGCTTTCCCATTGCACGATGGAATACATAGGCATAGGACGACGCAATCCTATCGAGTCTCTCCTTTTGTTTTTTCCTTTTCGTTTTTGCTTCCGTTTAGTAGTACGCTTTAGATAACAGACCTTTTTTATTAGATAACAAGCATGGATCCTGTTGAATATAATAGACACGAGGGGGGGGGGGGGGCTAATACCTTCCTCTCGCGTAATCGACTTTTGGACCCAGGATTTGGTTGCAAGACCATGTCTTCTCCTTTTTTTGAGATTTTCTTAGATCGTTTCCTTTCCCCCGTCGGGATAAATAACGTTCGGTGGCGATTCTTCTGTTTTTCCACCGAGTATTTTTCGTAGTTGCGACACTTGTGTCGAATGTCTTCTTGATATGGTGGTCATACGACGTGTTCTGCTGAAGTGCCCATGAAGAGATAATAGTACCTCTCAACAGTGGTACAAGTATATGGATGAAAAAGTTTCCGCTTTAGGGGGATCATAATGGATGGACTCACACTTGAGGGGGAAATTATTGAGAAACAAATGTGAGTTCTAAATCCTACATTGTTAAGAAAAATGGAGGTTGAACACGTTATAAGTGAAATTATTCATCCACCTATCACCTTAAGGTTTTGGGTGAATATGTGGTCTCTTTGTCTCTCTGTCTCTCTCTCACTCTCTCTCTCTCTCTCTCTCTCTCTCTCTCTCTCTCTCTCTCTCTCTCTGTCTCTCTGTCTCTCTCTCTCTCTCTCTCTCTCTCTCTCTCTCTCTCTCTCTCTCTCTCTCTCTCTCTCTCTCTCTCTCTCTCTCTCTCTCTCTCTCTCTCTCTCTCTCTCTTCTCACACACACAACACACACACACACACACACACACACACACACACACACACTTATTTGAATGAGTCATTGACCTTTAGATGAGTGTTTGACTCAATGTGAATACATCACCCTCATGATGACCCATCAGTTCCCCCTCCTTCTACTTCCATATAGATGAATTGTTTTAGATTCTGACAATACCGAAGCCGCCACAATGTAGGTGGACTTGACTATATGAAGGAGATGGACTTATCTTGTGGAGGAACCATTGTTATTATGAGCTATAGACTTTAGTATGATCATATGTTTTAGAAGGTTGGGTTTACTTATTTAATTATGGGCTTAGATTTTAGATTTTTTTATTCTCTCTCTTTCTCTCCTCATTAAAAGTGTCTCACGCATAATTTTTAACATCTCATTTATTTACTTTTAAAATGTTGAATTCTCCTTTATAAGAGTATGTGCTTGTTCTCCTATTTTACCATCCTATTTTACCATTCTTAATATAATAGTTCATATATGCTAGTATCATGATAATAAGTAACATATTATTTTACATGCAAGTAGCATGATAATATGTAACCTATTGTTTTAGTCTTTGTTAAATCAAATAAACAAAAAGTATAATTAAATCATCAGAGCAGCACCAAAAAATAAGATACAATTAAATGAGAAGCGAGCTGACAATATTTTACTGAATAATTCTTCTAAAAGTAACACGTTATGTATGAATGTAGATCGACAAAGACAGACAGTATATATATATATATATATATATATATATATATATATATATATATATATATATATATATATATATATATATATATATATATATATATATATATATATATATATATATATATATATATATATATATATATATATATATATATATATATATATATATATATATATATATATATATATATATATATATATATATATATATATATATATATATATATATATATATATATATATATATATATATATATATATATATATATATATATATATATATATATATATATATATATATATATATATATATATATATATATATATATATATATATATATATATATATATATATATATATATATATATATACCAAGTCAATTGAATTTTTGGTTATAATTTTTACTCTGGCTTTTTTTTTTCCACGGCCTAATAGTATTTGGTGGCGATATCATTTTTTAAGTTTTTATATATGTAAATAAACAAATAAAGATATAAAAAGATATTTGAGGAAAATTGATTCACAAGGTCTCATTTAGGAATAAAAATTGATATTTTTGATAAAATAATTTATTTTAAAAAATAGATTAAACATATCTTTTTAAATTACAAAATCATATATTAATAAACCGTGAAAATTATCAAAATATAAAGAATTAAATAGCTTTGATATAATTAAACCATATTTAATATTTACAGTAGAAACTCTATCATGAAATATTCTTTTATGATGATACAACTTTGTATATATTAAAAAAAAATTAACCGATGCTTAGTTTTATTTATTGGTGAAATAATATCATTTAACTGTTTAATTTATTTTCAAAAATATTTAAGTTATAAATTTGTATATTTATTTTATTAGGAATAAAATAATTTTCATATTTTTATTTATTAAGGTAATTGGTGAGTATATATGGTTTTCATAAAGGTGGGAATAAAATTTAAATAATTAGCTATATAATATGACTTTATAAATAATTTTAGAAATACCACATACATTTTATAAAAACATACCCATAATTAACATTCGCATTCATAGTTTTCAAAATTTTATTTTTTACAATAAATTTTAAATCCATGAAAAAAAATAGCACATAAACTCAGTTTTGGACTCAAATAATTGGCCAAGTTGTAGTGACTCGCTTCCCTATTTTATGAAATTGTCAACAAAAAAAAATTGATTAGTTCTAACAGGTACGGGGAGTACCATGACTTTGTAAACTTCAATTTGAAATATAAAATGGCAATAAAAAGCTAGAGTGCATCACCTATGAAAGTAAAATATCTAATAAAAATGTTGAGCCACTTCGTCAAGAAACTTTAAAAAGTCTAAGATATTGAAGTCCATAACACTATATAAAGACTTACAATCCATATACCAAAAGCAATCATAAACAGCAAATCTTCTAAATAGCCAAAAAGATATACAAGGCTGCTTACTAAGAGAGAACATGGGAAGTTCAATTGGGGCGAGGCAATGGCCTCGACTCATATATGCAATAGCACTTTGCACAATTGCTTTTAGTACTTTTGCTACTGCTGATGATGATACGCCTTACTATGGAGGCCAATATCCATACAACTATCCCCAACCACCCTACACTTACAAACCACCTTCATATAACAACTATCAATCTCCACCTCCATATGCTTATAAATTTCCTCCATATAATTATCAATCTCCTCCTCCCTACGACAATAAATTCCCTCCGTATTACAATAAAGTTCCACCATCTCCATACGTCGACAAATTTCCTCCATATTATAATAAAGTTCCACCATCTCCTTATGTCGACAAGTTCCCTCCATATTACTATAAATCTCCACCGTCTCCTTATGTCGACAAATTTCCTCCATATTACTATAAGTCTCCGCCTCTACCTTCTCCATCACCACCACCTCCTTATGTTGACAAATTTCCACCATATTATTACAAATCTCCTCCTCCACCATCTCCATCACCACCACCTCCTTATGTCTACAAATCACCTCCACCTCCTCCATATGTTTACAACTCACCACCTCCTCCTCCATATATCTACAAATCTCCACCTCCACCACCATATGTCTATAATAGTCCACCACCCCCATATGTGTACAAGTCACCACCTCCCCCACCTTATATATATCCGTCACCTCCATATATTTACAAGTCTCCACCCCCTCCTTCACCTTCTCCTCCACCACCATATGTCTATAAATCACCTCCACCTCCATCCCCTTCACCTCCTCCTCCATATGTCTATAAGTCACCACCTCCACCATCTCCGTCACCACCACCTCCATATGTTTACGAGTCTCCACCTCCACCATATGTCTACAAGTCTCCACCACCACCTCCATATGTTTATAAGTCACCTCCGCCACCTTCACCTTCACCACCTCCTCCATACTACTATAAGTCTCCACCCCCACCATCCCCTTCACCTCCTCCACCTTATGTTTATAAGTCACCACCACCCCCATCACCTTCACCACCTCCTCCATATGTCTACAAGTCACCACCCCCTCCATCTCCTTCACCACCCCCTCCATACGTCTACAAGTCTCCACCCCCACCATCTCCTTCACCACCACCACCATATGTGTATGAGTCTCCACCTCCACCATATGTTTACAAATCGCCGCCTCCACCTTCCTATGTTTATAACTCTCCTCCAAAACCTTACATTTATCCATCACCAACTCCATCTTATCCTTCACCAACTCCTTACATTTATAAGCCTCCACCCACGCCATATAATCCATATTTATATAGTTCACCTCCTCCCCCCTTGTATTAAGCTTCATATGTGTTTTGATTTTCTTCAATAAGTTTCCTATGATTAATGTTGTGTGGTTTGTAATAAAGTCTTCATTATAATAAAGGCCTGAATTCTAATAAAAGATGTATTTTGAACTTTATGTTGTATCATTATGTATTAGTATTAATTCAAAAGTTTGATTTACTTATCTTTTTGGCAAATTTTATTTAATTTCATTTATATTGTTTGGAATATCTAGACATAAAAATATTTATATAAATAATAAGATATACAAGTGACTCAAATACAATTAATAATGCCCAAAATACGAGAAGATTTATTCCAAACAATGAGAATTACTCATTCCCTATTCACTCTAAAGGAGAAACACGTCATTTATGATACAAACATGATTCTCCCTTTCAATTTGCGAAGAATTATTTTCACAACAATAATTATTAGTGTTGGAAATTGATCGGAGAGTTTGGTAGAACTTTGTAGGAAATAAGCACAAATTTGAACTACTTTGTGAAATGTGAATTTGAAAATTTTCACTAAGTGTTATAAGGGGTACACAATTTTTGTATACGAGAAACAACGCACCGCACTTTATTGTCTGTCCAACCGGCACAGTTCAATTCAGTCGGGTCAGACTTGGACTTTGGTGATACATTAATTTTTTGTATTTGGATTTGAAAAATAATTTAACATTAGTTTTTCAAAAAATGGGTTGTTCTCATTCATTTTATTAGATACTCACATGTTTTCTATGCATATGATCAAACCTTGAACTGCTCTGGCCGACTGAACCCATAACTGCACGGTCTACTCCCACAAATCCAATTTTTTTTAAAATTGATTCATCATGGGAAAGCTAGTCAAATTCGCTCCCCCATATTCTCTTCTTTTTCGGTTTCAACCTCCAGCTATAAATAGAGGTAAATTTTTATGAAAATGAAACCTCTCATTCTCTCTCTGCTCTGCTACATTTAAATAAGTTTCCTTTCTTCATCTTATATTTTGAGTGATCACATTGTTTCATATACGATTGGTATTCATACAAATTCAAGTGGTCTTTGTAACATAGAGAGTATAATTCTAAATCAATTGTTTGTAGTGCAGTAGCAATTGTAAAAGTTTGAACTAGACTGTGGGGTTGATCGTGTGCCTTGCATAACTTTTTATCTGATTATTTCTCGAGTGAATTTCAAAACCGATTTATAAATTGAAAAAACAAAAAAAAATATTTTCATCTACCACAACAATTTTAAGATGTATTCAACTACGACGGCTAATGGAAAAAATATTGGTATTTATGTTGTCTCTGATAAATTATTCAAGTTTGAAGGACTCATTTCAAACGTTTGCAATAGAAAAGGAAAATTTTCCTAACCACGAAAAAGGTTTCCAATGAGTTAATAGGTGAAATTCATGCTTCTTTGGGATCAAATGAACAAACCAACGGTATAAAAAATCTGTGGATTTATATGCAATAAACAATACAGCATCAGATGCATTTGAAACTACTACACAGATTAGAGAGAAAAAGTTACAGCTTAGGAAAAAGTTAGTCTTAAAGAAAGAGAAAGATTATCTCTATAAAAATCATTTTCATAATAGACTAGCAGAAGCAAATATGATTCTTGAATTTAAGATCACTAAGTCTCAAAAATGAAATATTTAGATCAATCTCATAATGTGAAAAATATCTTAAAGAAATATAACCACTTTGACTGTAAATCTGCTTGCGCACTTAATCATCCAAGTGTAAAACTTTAAGAACAATGACAAAAGTGTTAGACAAATTGAGTACATGGTCATCATTGGAAGTCTTAAATATGTCACTAATTGTACCAGACTCGACATTGCATATATCGTGGGATTATTGTGTAGGCTTACTAGTTGAATGAGTAATAAGCATTGGAAAGCTGTTGAGAGAGTCATGTGATACCTTAGAGAATTTATTTATAAAGGATTTGTAAGATTGAATCATATACGAACTAGTGAAAATTTAGCAGATCATTTGACGAAAAGATTATCTAGAAATATAATCCATAATAAATTTAAGAAGGTGAGACTAGTGCAAATATATAAGTTAGTTGCACTCTTTCTCAGTGCAGTCAATAAACATAGAGCCGTCTCGGGTCAATATATCTTGAGCAACCACTATTTAGGAAACAAATCTTATTTGTAGTTGTACGAAATTCCTCCATGTCTTTTCCTTTAAGTCTTGCGATTAAACAAAGATGATCTAACTAATCTTTAATTGAATTTGTGTTGTAAGAAGAGGGATCATCAACTTCTTCCCAAGAGATATATGTCATAAGTCTATTGATAACTTTGTTCTTAGACTTGAGAAATGTTATTTGTTTTTGCACAATGTTAAACTTTGACAAATGGTCTTGTAGTGTCTTGGTTTACCATATTCATAGCATGTTACTTGCAACTATTCCTTCTTTATATCTTCCCACTTTCTTGGTGAGTTGGATTTTGTGAACTTCACTAAATTTCTATCTGAATGCTTCAGATCGTTTTTCTTTATATATTTGTTGTAGCATCTAACAAAGAGATTGATTTATTCATCCTTTAAAGAGTCTTCATTGGTATTATCTTCATCATTCTTTACTTAGGCTTTGGAAGTGGATGCCTTTAAGGAGATGATTTTCTTCTCTTTTTTAACTTTATCTTTCCTTTTTTACATTTCCTTTACTTGCCTCAAGTCTCTTTAGCTCGTGTTTGTCACACCCTAATTTTTGACCTTAAGATCCCGCCTCTTATCTCCTGCTTGTTTTATTTTTTACTTTGGTATATATTTATTACAACTAACCAGTTTTTACGCAGGCAACAGTGTCAAGTGTAGATTAGATCGTTTTCTTTCCATTAATGTTGAGTGTAGTCGGTGACATGGAAAGCGATATCGCAGGTTACACTTTCAAGGCTTTAATTATCAAGAAAGGAGAATAGATTAATGACGCAGGGATAATATTACTTTGAAATGACAAGGTCTGAAACATATTGAATCAAGTTTGTGCAAGATATCCTTAAAGCCAAGTCAAGACTGTGAGATCCACCTCAGTGATCGAACTTATCGGAGTTGCAATGCTTAATAATTTTTGATGAATGATATAATCGGTTCAAATTTTCCAATGTAAATTGAAGCCCATGTCCATTTCAAACCCTTTTGTTAATTTAAACACTCACAAGATCAAACTCGAGCATAGTGCGTGGTTGGTTCTAGAATTTATGATTAATCCTTATCAAAACACCCTTTCCATTCATCAAGTGAAGATGGGCATAAAGGATTAAGAATGATTTGATCCACCAAGTCCTTAGTTTCATAAGTTCTTCTTCAGTACAAGATTCGGTTTAGTATGATGGCACGTTGGTTGGTGTAATTTCTATCAACAAGCTGAAGAAAAAAAAAGCCAAAGCTATGGGGAAATTAGCATCACACGATTGATAATGAGGAAGTGATAGCCTTTTAATATCAGTAACGGACATTTGTTAAAAGTGTCAATATCATATTATAAATAAAAGCAAATCAAGGGTGGTAGTCTTGAAGGCATCAACAGAGAGGATAATTACTGCCAAGCTTGTTTTCCACATTTTTGAAAGCTATTCACATACAACTTATTCAGATTTTAATCAACTGAAGATTACAATTGAAAGCTCCCGTAAGAAAACTCGGGGAGCACAAAGTATGAGTTACAACAAGAATATTTTGATTTACAAGAAGGCCTACCACGCAACAGTAGTGCTCAATCATTGGAATAATATCATGATCTTCATGCGTGATGTCAAAATATCTCCACCTTTCTTCGACTAAACCTGATTTTGTTGCAGCCAGATAGTAGAGCTGTGAGTGTTATTGCGTCACCTGATCGTAGAGAATCATCACCTATTTGCCATGGCGGTTCTACATTTCCAGCTCACATTTGGCTGAAAACTGGTGGGGCATCTGTGCATTTCCCGTTTTGAGAACATCCTGATATCTAAGTAGTCCAAGACACCACTTTAGGAGTAATCCCTGAACTTCTGATCAGATTCATCACAGCCAAAGCTTCCTCGTTCCGGCCTCGCATTGAATAAACCTGAAACCAAAAAATTCCATGTCACCAAACAGTCCCTTGGAGGAGTAACATGAGAACAGTAAGAATTCCTACCTAAACCTTTGACCGCACCTTTATTTCTGAAACCAAATCTAAAGCTTCAACAGAAGGAGGTAGCCTGCATTTCAGATAAAGAATCCCAAAAGCGAAAACCAACGCCGGCATGCTCACGCTGTTTGCTGGTTGTCAGCTCACTTTCCTTTCCTACATTATAAAACTACCTTTGAAGCAAATATTGGAATCAGAAATGATGAGGCAACACCTCAATTGAAACTCCTGATGATAACCTGCAGCTTCTGGAGCAAACTTTCCCATTGGTCAATGCGTAAATCAAATATGTGAACGCAACACCCTCGACTATTTTTCTACGCCATAACAGGTCCTTCATCCAAGTGATATCAAGCACCCTACGATTTCCCACAGACGTCGCCAATGCATTCTCCGAGGTTTTGTCGCATTCGCGAGCTAGTATTCGGTGTATCGCTTCTACTGCACCTTCATTGTCACACCTGCTTTTAACACAAGAGGCTTTTCAGGACAATGTTATCAACAAACAAAAGATTAAAAGAAATTGCTAAAACTGGCTCACCAATACCCGTCCGTACAACTTCGACCAAAGTCACCTTCACCCTCCTAAGTGCTTCCTGTCTGCATATAACCACTGTCCTGATTCCAACCAAAGCCAACAGCGATTATTCAACCATTACCTCCATCAAACTTCAAACAACCAGAACGCAGACCTAATCCCCATCCCTTCTTTAGATATTGGAAATGGTGGAGGGACACACGAACCGTAGCCTGCACCTTTACGTGAGCACAATTCATATTTAGACAATAATGTTCATCCCGTGGCATCGCAAAACCAAATCAGAGTTTCAATCATATCAGAAATTGATGGATCCAACACCTGAAATCAGACAAAATAATATC